TATTCCAGCACATACCAATTGACTCTTCTCTATCTATACATTTCTAATATGTATAAAAGGGTCCAACAGTGAGTCTAACGTTTCCCCATTTGCTTTTATCCGATTACCTATCTCTCAACCTCAGTTGAACGACCTCTTTCTGGAAGAATGTGTACGAAAAAACGGCTTTACTGTGCGTAGGGTGAATGGCGATGTTGGTAATAAATTTTATGTCACAACGTTAAACTCAACAGAGGAAATAAAACAGCCAACCAGATGCCGCTGATATCGATAGCTGTGGGATTTCGTAAATGTTTTTTTCAACCGCATACCCTCTATTTTTTTTTCCATTTGATTCTAACGACTCAAAAAATAAATATTGCGATCGGGAAAAGAAAACTTTCGGTCAAACTTTGAATTTGAAATTTAATAGGGAAACTACGTATGTATTTTAAAACCTAGTGGTGTAACTAAAAGGTGTATTTTGCCCTAAATTTCTGAACACCCTGTGGAAACATTGGATTACTGAATAATGTGTCTTCGTATGAGAATTTTAAGCCTCAACAGTTCCTTTTTTGATTCATGTCAATATCTCAATTATTGAAGAATATATACTGTTTTGAAGAAAATCATGCGAATCATATGTACAGCAAGGACAAAAGTCAATGATCTACTTTGACTGTCCTATTACAAAAGAGGAAAAATAAGTTTTTTTAGTCAACCTCATTGCCCTTAATGTCGCCAACTCTTGGGGTATAATGCCAGTTTGCTCAATCAGACATATCGTTTTTCCTTGTTTCAGTCCTCTCCAGAATAAAGCTAACACACACATAACAACGTCACGATTGTGTGTCTGGATTGTTTTAATAGAAAACCCGAGGCACGATCGACCCACATTCGGCAAAAATGCGTGGCTGGCAGCGAACTTTTCGTGTTCAGTTGTTTTTTCCTCCACCGACCAACAATAGCGGTCGTTAAATTGATTTTCCGCGGCACCACCAACTACTTTTCCGGATATTGTTTTAAATCGCCAGCTAACACGTGCGTTGCAACACAATTTGATTGTTTATGGTTGTATGTAAAGACACTTGTGACACATGTGACACTTCCCCAGATTTTTACCCAATGTTACTACTAATGGGTGATTTTTTTGCTAGTATCTTTTTGGCAACACTGTTTTTGACAGATGACGCGTGAATCGTGTCTTGTGTCATTGTCAAACTTGTTCAGTTTGGTCTATAATTTAACCATGAATCGACTTACGAACGAACAACGCTTGCAAATTATTGAATTTTACTATCGAAATTCATGCTCGATTAAGAGAGTGCATCGAGCACTGCTTCCAATTTATGGGCAATTTGGTCGGCCTACTGAGGGAGCTATTCGGAAGGTTGTGACTAAATTTCGAACCCAGTTTACATTATTGGACATTAAACCACCAACAGGCAGACGTAGAGTGAGGACTGAAGAAAATATTGCGGCTGTATCCGCCAGTGTTAGTGATGACCGTGAAATGTCGATTCGCCGCCGTTCGCAGCAATTGGGCCGCTACGTGGAAAATTTTGCGACAGAATTTGGGTGTAAAACCTTATAAGATACAGCTGGTGCAAGAATTGAAGCCACACGACCTCCCACAATGTTTCCAATTTGGTGAATGGGCGCCGGCAAAGTTGGAGGAAGATCCACATTTTTATCGAAAAATTGTGTTCAGCGACGAAGCTCATTTCTGGTTGAATGGGTGCGTTAACAAGCAAAATTGCCGCATCTGGAGTGAAGACCAGCCAGAAGCATTGCAAGAGCTACCAATGCATCCCGAAAAAATCACTGTTTGGTGTGGATTATGGGCCGGTGGCATCATCGGGCCGTACTTCTTCAAAGACGACAATGGCCGGAACGTAACTGTGAATGGCGAGCGCTACCGTGCGATGATAACACACTTTTTTTTGCCCAAAATGGAAGAGCTGGACTTGGCTGACATGTGGCTTCAACAAGACGGTGCCACATGCCACACTGCACACGAAACAATGGCCCTATTGAGAGGCGAGTTCGGTGAACAGTTTATCTCACGTTTGGGGCCCGTGAATTGGCCGCCTAGGTCGTGTGATTTAACGCCGTTGGACTATTTCTTGTGGGGCCATGTTAAGGCCAATGTCTACAGTGATAAACCAGCAACGATTGACGCACTGGAAGCCAATATTGAAGTATTTATTCGTGAGATACCGGCCGATATGTTGAAGAGAGTGTGCCAAAATTGGACCTAGCGCATGGGCCATCTAAAGGGGAGTCGCGGCCAACATTTACATGAAATAATCTTTAAACATTAAACTATATCGACCGTTCTATCGACTCAAATAAAGATTTAATCGTTTTTTCAAATTTTTCGTGTTTTTTTTTTTGAAGATCAAATCCTATACCTCTTAAAAAATCACCCGTTTGAACGCAAAATCTTCCTAGTTTCTGAAAATCAGTCCAGTGGCAGCAGAGAAAAAGGCCAAAAACGAAAAAAGATTAAAAATCGGTCAAACTTCGTTTTTTGGGTTTAAGAGGATCCTGATCTTTTTTTAAAAATGTGTCTTCAAGCTCGTTCTAGCAGTCGTAGTGCCCCGGTATTTAGGTGGCCAAAGCGGACATTTCAGCTTAAAAAAATATACTCTAGCACATCTTACTTTTTTTTATACAGGAAGATTCACAAGTCGTGACCAAAAATGAAACATCACGACCGCATTTTATGTAACATTTTTTCCTCGCTGGCTTCATTAAAAAGAAAAATTGCGCGTTTCATCTCTGAAACATTGTGATACTATGTTCCAGAGATTCTATTTTCGTCGCCTCTGAATCAATTTTCAAAATCTACGACTACAGAAACGTTGCAACTATTAAACTCGCGATAATATTCGAACTTCGATTCACAACTTTTCTGCTGCTTAAGTTTGGCAAAAAATCACGTTATCACGTGCAGCCCCCTGGGCGAGGGCAGGACGCTGCACTTTTTTTAATTAGTCCTTGAAGTGACCTTTAAATGACCTTCATAGTGCCTAGTTGACCTCCGAAGTAACCTTCAAATCCCCTAACAGAAACAAACTGCTCCCAGAATCGAAACCAGCTATCCAAAAACTTCGATTCACAACTTTTCTGCTGCTTAAAGAGATATGCATAACGCGTCTTTTGACATCAAAGTTCTTTCTTCAGTGAATGTGATTTTCACCTAGAGAAAATTGTAAAGTACGCCACTGTCTTACCAACCGCATGGCTTGTTTTATTAGACAAACAATGACGTGAACCATGGCGTAAAGCAAAAGCATAGCTTGTTTCCGCATAGGCATTTGCACGAAATACCTGTCTCGACACGGCTCTAAAAAACTAAATAACACGCTTGTGAAGGCTTCAATCCTTTATGAACTTTATGGATCTAGTAATTTAACGCTTGTTTTTCTGCTATGCGGTTGTTTTCAACTTGGACGTTTAATATAATACCAACGTTAGACGCGTGCTAGCTAACGTATTGCAATGCTTGTTTCTTCTATTAGTAAATGCACTGTTTTATACAGGGTGACGCATCGAAAACGAAACAGACGCATTTACTGGCAGCTCAGTTTTTTTTTTTGAAAAACGCTCAGACATGTCGATTTTGTTTTCGAGGGGGACACGTGCAGCCCCCTGGGCGGGGGTGACACCACCCCCAAAATCTTAAATGGAAAGGGGACCAAACTTGTGTCCCCGTCGAAAACAAAATCGACGGGTCTAGCGTTTTTCCAAAAAAAACTGAGCTGCCAGTAAATGCGTTTGTTTCGTTTTCGACGCGCCACCCTGTATATCGTCATTGAACTTATTATTTGTGTAGCCTTTAAATACCATTATAATGCCTTTCTAGAAACAAACTAATGTATAATAAAATCTTATGTAACACACGTCTGGACTCGAACACTACACTTTTTTTAATCAGTCATTGAAGTGACCTTTAAATGACCTTCATAGTGCCTAGTTGACCGCTGAAGTAACCTTCAAATCCCCTAACAGAAACAAAATAAAAAGCAGTCACCATGCGACGTGCATTGTGAGAAAGTCTCAATGGCGGATACTTTATCTTCGGCCTTTATCGCCTCGGAGATTCCATATTTTATAAAATCAATTACCCTCGGAAGGACCTTACGGAAGTTTATCCAACATTGATAAATGGTGGGTCATATTACCCTTACACTTCTATCAGCAACCAGCTGAATAGAAAAGGATATTTTCAGGAATGAGTGTGTCAGATCCGTAAGAAATACGGTCGCGTTCGAATCAATCAAAGAATAAATCAGATATGTACGTAATACCCGGGATGTATGATATCCACTATCAATCAAATTGAGTAGGTATTTTGGTAAATACCGTGTTTCTACGAGTAGAATATTCAAATCTGTCCCAGTATTCGTTTGTCCATTAAAGCGCGTCACATTTTCAAGTGCGTCCACGTAGATATACACAATTTGTATGGCGTAACGTTGCGGTCGGAACATGTGACAATAATTATAAAATAAATTAAAACTCTACGGGTGGATTTCACTAACATTAATATTTAACGGTCATTTGAACCAATGGAAAAAGAACTTATCGAAATGCAATTTGACGGAAGCTTCCACGTATTTTGCTATTTCTTATCAATTCACAAATAACGGAGAGTCTAATCAGTCCACCAATGAAAATGCAAGAAATAATAGGTCGATTTTCTAGCTATTATATTTAATAGGACGTTTTAACTGTTTTTGATGACTGTCACAATGCATGGCAATCAATTTTTGTCTCTATATTGCGTAGAAATGGCGACTATGTAGAAAAATAATCCAATGATAAATCCCTTGTCCATGAAAAAATGTGGAACCCTCTCAAGTAAACCTGAAAACGGTGTCGTCTTTCGTAGAAGGGAAGCGTTATGTCAGAACATTTTCTTGCTTAGTGTCAGACCTAATTGATTGATTTCCTAACAGAGATGCTGCTTGTACGTTCTGACGAGTTTTCATATATTTTTTCTTTTGTTGCAGATGACGAGATCATCTACAGGGACCGATGGGGCGGCATCAGTATAATGCATGCTTCCAATTTATCAGTCAGAACAATCATGTCCAATCAGACTTATGTAAGTATACGTTTCAACTTTTATCATACAGGGTGTTACAAAATGTCGGAAAATGTGAAACGGTTAAACTGCCGGTAATTTTCTTTAAGCTCTGAGGGGTGCTGGTAATAAAAATACTAGAGGAGCAGGGATCACTTGGAGTTTTATTGATTTCTCTTCATAATCATTACCACATAATGATTCATCTCGCCATATACTTTGAAGTTGAGTCATTAATTTTCAGATAATGATTGTAGAAGGAAGATAAACCAAAATATGTGTGTAAAAATGAAAAAAAATAAAAAAAAATATTTACCTTGTTTTATAAAGTATCCTCCCGACAAGTATTTCAGTGCGAACCTGTATTTGATCGTGAGGTCTTGGAGCACCGGCATGCAGTCCCCTGTGTGGTCTTAAGTCACCTGATTCACGAGCCCGTTGTACTACATTAACAAAGGCACGAGGGGTTGGTTGCACTCGATTGGGAAACCGATTCGCATAAACATGTGCCATTTTTTATTTCGTTTGAGCCACGCAACAGACACTACTATTCACTGACACTGACTGTATACAAATGAATAAAATAATTGTAAAAACATCGTTCCAAATTCTTCCGCTTTTTTGTTTCCGATGCGATGAACCGATACGGCGGATTATATCCGTTGTCGCCAAACACGAGCACATAATATTATTATTGAGACAGGGCGGTACTCAAACTTCCAAAAGGCTATAACTTTGTTACTTTAATTTTACCAGAAAAATGGTAAAGGAAAAAAACATTTCTTTTGATCAGATCTACTCACTGTTAAAATAAATGACTCGACTTCGAAGTCACCCTGTATAATTCACAACATCATAGCGTCAGTTGACAAGATTGACGTCACTGACTAATGACAAATGACAATGACAGCTGCCCAACAAATGTCATATGTCTACTACAATCCCTGTACCCCGGGCTAATCACAGATCACCAACGTAAGATATAGATTAATTACAAAACTTTGGCCTGAATTTTCAATCGGAAGTTAACTTTCAAGCTTGGAAACTTTCCACTATCCAATACATTATTTTTTCTCGAAAACTATGCGAGATGGCCTGTTTTCTAGTATATTTATAATATTATAACATTTGTAGCACAAGTATAGCTCTTTTCAACTAGCTCAAGTTTGTTAAGATCAGCTCAGCCGTTTCTAAGCTACAGGGTGTTTTTTACGGAAATCTTTGAATACCCCCACCACTTTATTTTTAGAGATACAGCTAAAATGTTCGAACAAAAAGTTCGATTTTAATGATCAGGTACAAGCCTCTACGAGATACAGAACCTAGAATTCCTACTTGGCCACCCTGTACATTGGGACACCCTGTATATTTCAGCCGTCTAGCAAACTACAGAAATACCTTCCATGGTCAGGGGTTCTATTGATTTCGGCGGGGTCTCGGTTAAGGTCGCTCGGATTTCCGATAATGTCAAATAAAAAATGCATTGCATATCTGCCCTAACAATACATAGTTTTACTTTCGAGTCGAGATCGCAAAAAGACAACACGACAGACACTATCTTCGTGTAGGAAGATTTTCCCAGATTATCGACGCTTTCGCTCGTCTGGGGAACGGGGAATTCGGTTCCCAGTACACTTTCAGATAAAGCTTAAAATGGAAAAGTTGGATATTCGTTGGCGAATTCAAGTGTATTGATCGACCAGCCAAAGATTGCTAGGGACGAAAGGGGGAAATGCGATGAAAAAACCTTACCATTAGACGATTTTATATGGAGTCATAGGCGGAGATCGGAGAAACTTGAATTATTAATTGAATTTATATTTTATTACAACTGGTAGTATTAATATTTTTTTGCGATTCATAATGACGTGATACCAAACATACATTATAAGAAATAAATATACACAAACACTGAATATTGAGAACAAAATAAATATATTTTTTAGGCAACAAGTAATATTCCTATGTACGCATTATGATTGAACAGCAAAACAAATTATGCATTCTTCTAAAATAGAATACAACAAGTCAAAAATATCTGACTGAATAGAAAAATATAGGAAAACAAAAAGTAATTTCTTGATGAAATAACCCATAAACAACACATAGAATTAGACTTTCTACTGAGATACTAAAAGCCACAAACCAATAGTATAATAAATGAATATCTAAAAATTCTAAAAGGTAGCCAATCTAGTATAGTTTCAATCCTGATTAGAGTCATGATCACTGTCTGAGGAACTGTCATTGCTATCACTTTCACCTCCTATGTTGATTATTATTTCTTCCTGTATTTCTTGAATGAGACTGTCTTTTTCCCAATATTCATCTTCAATTTTTATAACATGTCCAATAACCTTTTGCCAGTCACTGGCACTTACTGAAGCGATGGCCTTATTAGAAATTTCATCTAGTTTTTTTATAGTAAATTCGCCGCTTGTATTATGGCTTCTAATGAAAAATTTTACTTGTGCCCAAATCATCTCTATGGGATTAAACTGACACATATAGGGTGGCGTTCGAAGTGGGGTGTGTCCGAAACTTCTTATTAAATTATCTATCTTATAATTTTTCTCATCAGATGGTGGCCTATGTAGACAAGCTATTTCATAAAGCTCCATTTTTTTAGCATTAGGATCATGCTCTATACCTTTTTTGCTCAACCACGTGATGATGTCTCTTTTTAGAGAAGATCTAGTTGGAGGCTTGTCTTCCAAAGCTGAATGGTAAGGTGCATTATCCATTATTATAATACTATTAGGAGGAATGTTAGGAAATAGTTTTTCAGTAAGCCACTTCGTGAAATTTTCTTGGTTCATTTGACCGTGATAATCACCAGTGGCACAGCCAGCCTTGAAAATGAGACAGGCTCCAGGAACAAAACCATCTTGCGAACCCGCATGAACAATTATAAGTCGTCCTGGAAATGAATAAATAGCCTCATTTTAGTGTTATTTTAAGTTTGCCAACACCTTTTTGAATCACTATGTATAAAAAACATATTTTTGAGAAAAAAATACTTGCAAGGGATTATGTATTCAATTAGACAAATTAAATGAGCACTTATTAAGAATATTCCAAAATTGAGAAAAATGTATAATAAGCAAAATCGAGGTGAAAGAAACTTTATTACCTGTAGAACTTATATTGCTCAGGACACCCATAATTTCTTCGCTTTGCCAGCATTTCTTGAAAGTGAGGTCATTATCAACCCAAGTTTCGTCCAAATAAATAATATGCCTTCCTTCTTCCCGGAACTTTTTAATAGACCTAAGATACTTGTATCGCCAATGTAAAATACTGGGTCTTTCCATTAGTAATTTCCTTTTGTTGTGGCATTTACGCCAGTAAAATCCTTTTGCTTTTAAAAGCAGCCTCAACGATTCTTTACCAAATGGAAATTCCATTTCTTCCTTCAGTTTGATTAGAAGTTTACTACAAGTAGGTACCACTTTAAAATCACAGTAAAATTTTTCTATCATTCTCCGAATAATGGAAAAATCGACTCCATCAATTTTTTGGATCACAGAAGGGCGTGATCTCTTTTTTCCGGGAGAAGCTAAAGGCTGTGTGGAGGTTGCATTTTGCCTGTCTTTATCTTCTTTTCTAATTTTACTTATAGTTCGTTCACTAACACCCGTATAATATGCCGCCCTTGCATTTCTAGCTACCAGTGGATAAACGAAAGTATTGTTAGCCGCTTCTGCATCGCAAGCACGTATCACGTTTGCTATTATTTCCCTTGCCTGGCTGTGAATAACTTTCCCATGCTTGAATTCCATTATCACCACTAAACAGTAAATTATATTTTCAAAGTATTTGCCAACTGCCTACGCCTATGGGAGTAGGTTTATAAATGACCGTGCCATCGGCACGTTATTCTAGTTTCAGATAAGATAAGAGTTTTGGACCAATCAGCGACCGGATGTTTACCTGCGGCCTGGGTTTTCCAGCTACATTGCCAAATTCAGCGGAACAATTCTATATCTTAAATATGTTAATATGTATGGACCGCATTTTATGTAGAACATCTGACAACTTCGCAATTTTTTGTCCGCATTCTTTCGGCTTGCAATCTTTCGCTGGTCCAACAGTATGTGGGATTATGGACGTTGAGAGATTTTTTTATGCCGCAGTAACACAGTTTCTCGCTTACACTAGGACCGCGTTCATCTCCATTCCTCCATCCAAACCATGTCGACTTTGTTTACCGAGCACTACCGATACGCCGCTCATTGTGGGATTGTGAAACAATCTAGCTCCTCTACTAATCTTAGGGCCAATTTTACAATTATTTCGCAAACCAAGGTTATTTCGTCTAATATAATTAGACTAGAGTTACAAAGTTCTTTAATCACCCGCGGTGCCCCGGTATTTAGGCTTCTGCATGCGCGGTATAAAATATAGTCCAAAGTAGGAAAAGAAGATACTTGATTCTTCTTATTTTCCACTGTCGCCACACACAGGTCGATTCGTCAAGAAAATTATTCATGTCCCAAGAAATTGCATAATAAAAGTTCCAATATCGCCAGCATTAGTGCTGTTTTATGGTGATGGCTGAAAATATCTACGCCAGCGCAAAAATTGGGCAGCTTTCATCAGGATTTGGAATTACCACACCACAATGTAGTAACGTTGTAAAAAATACAGAAAACTTTAGTGCCAAAACTTCACATTCACACTATGCTCTTTCGAGACTTCTGATATTTAGTGTTCGATTTTTATTTGTTCTAGACTCTCTCTATTTCCCCACAGTCGTATTTTGCTTCACAAACAGAGAGTCAAATACGTTTCAGCATCAACAGACGTAATCGCTTGGATATCTCCGGATGTATACGGCCTTTGCAACGCAGGAGTCGATAATAGCAAAATACAAAAATAAATGCTCCGTTCGTGGTCAGAAACGTGGCTATCGATTTCGCAGCTATCGAATAAAAGTTTAAAAGTTACCTCGACAGCATTTGATAAAAATGCTGCCAATATTTCACGTTGACTGTTGTTTGAAATCTCATGACAATGTTGATAATTGAGATGTGATTGCTTTGTGTTGGTTTTCTATTCTGGAAGTGTTCTTTGTTCACTATGACGTCCAAAAAAGGGAGGCTGTTTAGGTGTGTGCACAAAGAAACACACTGGCATCGGAGAAAATTCAAGCGAGAATGAATGAAAATGTTTTAAAAAATCCAAGTATAGAAACTGAAAAAGAAAAACCGATTGTAATAAATATACTAAGTGACATATAAATCCGAACACCCAGTTTAAATGGTTTTATTTTAATAAAAGTTGGTGAATGTATTTATCTTACTGCAAATAACAAGTGAAAAAATTTTCAGCCTTATCAGTTGGTTTTTATACTGTTTTTTTTAATTCACTAACGCTCTAAAAATGAATATTTCAGCCGCAGTAAAGAATCAACGTTGGCGGATTTTGGTTCTGGACATCCTTTACGATCGGTTACGATGCCTAGAGTACGGAGACCTGTACGATTTCATCAACTTAGTGAGTTTGATAAGGGCCATATATTGAGACTTCGGGAAGCTGGACTTTCTTTTCGGGTAATTGCAGTTAGAGTGCAAAGAAGTGTAGACACTGTGGTTAGGTGTTGTCTGGCATGGCTTCGAAAAGGCCGTACGCAAAGAGCAAGGGGCACTGGACGCCGCCGTAGAACAACAGACCGTGAAGATCGCCGCCTAAGATTATTGGCCTTAAGGGACCGTTTCTCCACTACCAGGTCCATTGCAAATCAATGGTTTGCAGAACACGGAAGACCTATTGGCATGCGAAGTGTTTACCGACGAATGAGAAGTTTTGGCTTGTTTTCATACCGGCCACACTGGGTCCTCCCTTTAACTCGAGAACACCGACGTAATCGCCTTGAGTGGTGCAGACAACGGTCACTCTGGGATCAGGAATGGAACAGTATTGTCTTTAGTGACGAGTCTCGATTTTGTTTAGGCATGCACGATGGTCGTGCCAGGGTTAGAAGGCGACGTGGTGAAAGGAAGTAATCCACAGTTTTTTGTTGAAAGACATGTTCATCACACTGTTGGAGTTATGGTTTGAGGTGCTATAGCTTATGGTTCCAGGTCACCTTTAATCTTCATCAAAGGTAACATGAACCCGCAGCGTTATATCCACGAAGTTCTAGAACCCCATCTTTTACCCTATCTTGACACCCTGGCAGATCCAACTTTCCAACAAGATAATGCCCGACCACATGTTGCAAGAGTCACTATAGACTTCTTTCAACATAATGATGTCACATTGTTACCATGGCCACCAAGATCTCCCGACTTATCCCCAATTGAGCACGTGTGGGATATGATGGGTAGGAGATTGCTCAATTTGCAACGTCCTCCTCAGACTCTAGAAGCACTTCGAGAGGAGTTGGTGGTTGCCTGGAATGAGATACCACAGGAGGACATTGACCACCTGATCAGAAGCATGCCTAGGCGCGTTGGAGAATGCGTAGCACATCAGGGTGCATCGACACATTATTAAAGGTCAAAGGGCTTTAAAGCAGTGCAATAATTTTGAAATTTTTATCATTTACTTATTATGCTTCATTAAGTACTTATACAAAATTTTATTAAAATAAAACCATTTAAACTGGGTGTTCGGATTTATATGTCACTTAGTATATGAAACAAGTGCGTGGAACACGTCATAACCAACCACCAGCTACGTCATCAAACGGTATAGTTGCAGAGAATTATTCAAGAGATTGAAAAAATGACACAGCCTTCGCTTTTTCTCTACAATATGGCTATCGATAAACAAAGATAATTTCACCTCGAATAGTCATATACAAGGCGTGGTTTTGCAATTTTTAGCTAAATAATTCGATCTAAATGATAAACGGGATCAGATACACGTGAAACGACTTCGGATTCGGTATTGGCAGTTCAAAATACCTGGAACAAAGGTCATTTGAATCGCATTTAAAGTATTTTAACATATAATTATCATGTATCATTACCAAAAAGGCAGAAAATGGGTCAGTCGGGAACGTGAACGCAACATGTCTTATAATATGCTTTTTGGGTCACCGAAACCGAATCCATGGCCCATTCAGTCCGAAAATGCTTCGTTTTCGAGTTACTGGCAAGAACTCAACTTTGCCAAAAAACGACTAATAAAAAATATCTAAAATCTGTTGCGCGTCTATGATCGAGATGGACGCTTGTTTCCTGGGTAAATCAGATACGTAGATTCCAAATTCGATGTCGATACATCGCTAGAATTTACGACACAGTGCTAGAAATTACGGCTAGCCCGGAAAAATGGTTTCCTGTCAACTTTTCACCCTAAATCCAGTCTGATGACGCTTATGAAAATCAAGGAGGCCATAAAGGCGTCCTACAATTGTAGGAACGACTGACGTTGCGGCCCTAAATCTCTAGGTTTCCGAGATATCCTAAAATTCGGATTTTCTCTATATTTGAGGTTACGTAGCGTGGCGAAATATTTTTTCGACCTATTACTAATATTCAAGATTTTAAAAATAGCAGTATTTCCTTATAATTTTCCAAATTCAACCTGGAGCTTATTGGTGATTTGGGTCAGCAAATCATCAGGATTACTGCAAATTGATTTTTTGATTATCACCATTTTGTTTGTTTGTCATTAAAGGGATTCTTTTGTTTTCAGTTACGGTTAAACCCAGCAAGGTATCAACTGTCACCAGACCAACGGTACTTGCTGCTAGCTCAAAATGTACAAAAACTCTTCAGACATTCCTACCTAGCGCAATATTCGATATACGACATTCATACGGGGTAAGTACGATTTTATTTTTTTATGATTTGGATTTCAATTTAATTCCTTATGTATTAATAATTTCTGTGTATCTATCTATTCAGGTTAAATATACGTTCCATTTTTCAGAGTGTATTTCGAATAAGACAAGAAACTTTATGCATATGTAGCTCACATCGACCAGTCGTATAAGTACGTCTTAAATAATACGCCTTCACCATATGCGTAAATGGTATAGGAGATCGCACATTCACCTTACCTCATTTTCCTGTTCGAGATAGATCTTCGGGCACTTTAGCAATTTTTGATAATCATATTGGGAATCAGCGTTCCAAATTGTTGCTTGTAAAACGATGAAAATAGAGAATTTGCCTCTAAGAACTTTAAAAGCATTGAAGAAATTTTTCAGAAATTCCCACGGATCTGCTATTTTAATTAAAGCCTTTTTGATTCTCAATGTGTTTTGACCATTAAATTAATCCCTTGGAAATAGCAGAGCTATAGGCCTGCAGTTCTTTTTTTCGGATGGGTTAGAAATGAGCAAATTTTCAGCTTTCCGGGAAGGTGACCAATTTGTAAGATGCCGTGCTGAGAAAATACTGTCCATTACAAAGTTACGCCATTCGCTAACATTAAAGTACCAAGAAACATCAGGAAGCTATTGATACTGTTCTCAATCTCAAGCAGCTATAAAATTGTCGACGTCCCCGACACAGCTCGTAAAACAGTTGAATAGAAGCCTTGATGGGAGACAATAGCGTATTGTGCTAGTGTAAGGAATCCATCTTCGGCACAGAGCGGGAACTGTGAACGCCAAATTGACAAACTCAGTAAAAAAAAACCCTATAAAATGTCATCTTGCAGACTAGGTAGTTTTTACGGTGCACGTCTGCTCACTAGGATCGTTGTAAGCGTCCATCTATGGAGGAATAGCTCAACTACACGTATCGTTGGTTGCATATGTCTTGTGAAGCCGAGTAGTCTGTAGTTTTCATCTCTGAGAAGAAAGTTGGTTGAATTGCAAGATGTGGTATTACGTATCTTGAAAAGTGACATTATGTCGAATGTTTTTGACATTATATGGGTTTTTTGTGACATTATGTAAGTTTTTAACTTAGCACCAGCTGATGGACGCGTTGTGAACTCATTTTGTAGTTGTGCATGTTGCCTAAAGGTCATGATGCTTCAGTTATCAATATTTGGCTCTGATGTGATTTAAAATCTGCTTCAGAGATGGCATTACTGGAGGTAATGGCAATGTATAGGTACATAGTGAGGATTTGTGTGCATTCCCTAACATTAAAGTACCAAGAAACATCAGGAAGCTATTGATACTGTTCTCAATCTCAAGCAGCTATAAAATTGTCGACGTCCCCGACACAGCTCGTAAAACAGTTGAATAGAAGCCTTGATGGGAGACAATAGCGTATTGTGCTAGTGTAAGGAATCCATCTTCAGTGGGAACTGTGAACGCCAAATTGACAAACTCAGTCAAAAAAAACCTTATAAAATGTCATCTTGCAGTCTAGGTAGTTTTTAAGGTGCACGTCTGCTCACTAGGATCGTTGTAATCGTCCATCTATGGAGGAATAGCTCAACTACACGTATCGTTGGTTGCATATGTCTTGTGAAGCCGAGTAGTCTGTAGTTTTCATCTCTGAGAAGAAAGTTGGTTGAATTGCAAGATGTGGTATTACGTATCTTGAAAAGTGACATTATATGAGTTTTTTGTGACATTATGTAAGTTAGCACTAGCTGATGGACGCGTTGTGAACTCGTTTTGTAGTTGTACGTGTTGCCTAAATGCCATGATGCTTCAGTTATCAACGTATGGCTCTGATGTGATTTAAAATCTGCTTCAGAGATGGCATTACTGGAGGTAATGGCAATGCATAGGTGCATAGTTAGGATTTGTGTGCAAATTATATGTGTTGATGATATTTCCATTGGATTCTTGTCTCAAATACACTTACATGAAACTCAATGCTAGAAATTAGTTGCGCATCCACTTTTTCTTATCCATTCTGGAAATTACATATGCAAATTTGCTGAATTTCAAAAGTGAGAGAGATAAGAAATAATTATGTTCACTGTACACTGTCGAATATATGCTTACAGTAATTTCACACAACGCGGGCGCGTAATTCTCCTCAGAGTTTTTGAAAACACAAAAAAGGTAAAAAATCGTAATTTGTAATTTTAAACATAACCTGTCATCAGAAACGACAACATATAAATAATCCGTCAGGCACAGATAATAGATATACATCATTGGCAGCATGTTCATTGATCATTTTCTGATAAAGCAAATATCACTGATCTTGTACACATGTAGACTAATACACGCAATCATCCAGATGCGATCTTGCTATTCAACCAACTTTCTTCTCAGAGATGAAAGTTATAGGCTACTCGGCCTCACAAAACATATGCAACCAACAATGCGTGTAGTTGAGCTATTCCTCCATAGATGGACGCTCACAACGATCCTAGTGAGCAAACGTGGAATGACTGTGCACCCTAAAACCTAGTCTGAAAGATGGTATTTTATAGTTTTTTTGACGTTTTATAAGTTTTTTACATAATACCCGTGCGGGACGCTCTACAGCTTAACCCTGAAATCGTCAGAGGTCGCGCTGCTGTGTAGTACTGTATATACCGCGCCCTAGTAGAAGTAATGATCACCGGGTGGGTTATTAATCATTATTATTTAATAAATCGCGTAGGCTGTGCTCCTGTTTGCGCTGCTTGATGCTTATGTTTCAGCTGCGGCTTCCAGAGGGGCAGAAACAGATTTACATTTCATTAAACATACATGGAGACCGTAGGAGTACGAACGTCGAGCAAATACCGTGCGACGTTGAAATATGTACGAATGTAGGCCGGAAAGTGTTGGTTGCAAGCTTATAATGTTTCCTTCATTTGCAATTAATGCCTTCCGGATATGTACAGAGCGTCCCAATATTCCGTAGACATAGACGTATCGCGTATTGTTAGACTCAAAATGAGTCGGTTGGTCATGTTTTACAGCTATGCAAAAGTGCTCCGTTTGTCCGCTAGATGGAGTCAAAGTTTTCTTTTTAAAACATATACTAAAACGACTTTTATATATGTAGGCGATATTTGGTATATTAACTCCTTTAGAAGAGTCCTACAACCAGTTAAATAAATGACTCAACTTTGAAAACACTGTATCTTTGAAAGAAGAGTAGTGGTTCGTGAAAATATAGAAGTATGATACCTACTACCTTACAATTTAATTTTTTTATTGATTTTAACTTTTTGCTAACATACAGAATTTGCAACGACAGGAGCAGTAAAGTTATGTTAAAGAGAGGCCTAACCACTTTTGGTAGCCGACCCACAACTATCCATAAACAATTCTAAAGCCGAATGTTTCCTAATTCGATTTTTAAATTTTTTTAGGAGAAAATATAATTACTTTCGATTTTTCTGAATTTAATCTAAGATTATGTATTTTTGCATACTTGTCGATAGATCTCAAGTCTTCATTAATTTGGGCCTCAGCAATTATTATATTGTCAATATTAAAATTATTGTATAACTGCAAGTCATCCGCAAAAAGCAGAATTTAATAACCTTATCCGGATCGGAGATACATAAAATGAAAAGAAGTGGCCCAAGAACCGACCCTTGAGGCACGGCCGATGACATCAAAGCCTCAGGAGAAGTGTTCATATCGAAGACAACTCTTTGTGATCTATTTCTTATATGCAGGGTGACTTCGAAGTTGAGTCATTTATTTTAACAGTGAGTAGATCTGATCAAAAGAAATGTTTTTTTCCTTTACCATTTTTCTGGTAAAATTAAAGTAACAAAGTTATAACCCTTTGGAAGTTTGAGTGCCGCCCTGTCTCAATAATAATATGTGCTCGTGTTTGGCGACAACGGATATAATCCGCCTTATCGGTTCATCGCATCGGAAACAAAAAAGCGAAAGAATTTGGAACGATGTTTTTACAATTATTTTATTCAGTTGTATACAGTCAGTGTCAGTCGGTAGTGGATAGTGGTGTCTGTTGTGTGGCTCAAACGAAATAAAAAATGGCACATGTTTATGCGGATCGGTTTCCCAATCGAGTGCAACCAACCCCTCGTGCCTTTGTTAATGTAGTATAACGGGTTCGTGAATCATTTGACTTAAGACCTCACATATGGACGGCATGCCGGTGCTCCAAGACCTCACGATCAAATACAGGTCCGCACTGAAATACTTGTCGGTAGGATACTTTATAAAACAAGGTAAAATTTTTTTTTTAATTTTTTTTTATTTTTACACTCATATTTTGGTTTATCTTCCTTCTACAATCATTATCTGAAAATTAATGACTCAACTTCAAAGTCTGTATATATATATATATAAAGAGAAAATTATCATGCAGAGAAAGGTATATAACAAAAATAGGAAAATAATGGACAAAATCCGCAAAAAGTGGATTCGAGCAGAAAATAGGATAGGTAACCCGAGCGATACGAATTTCTGCTGGATGGCTTCATCAGGCCCGAAATGAATGCACATATGCAACTACCTGAGGAAACAGGTTACACATTCATTTCGGGCCTGATGAAGCCAACCAGCAGAAATACGTATAGCTCGGGTTACCTATCCTATTTTCTGCTCGAATCCACTTTTTGCGGATTTTGTCCATTATTTTCCTATTTTTGTTATATATATATATATATATATATATGAAAAGAAGTGGCTCAAGAACTGACCCTTGGCGCACTCCCGATGATATTACGCCTCAGGAAAAGTGTTCATATCGATGACAACTCTTTGTGATCTATTTCTTATGTGTTCCAAATTCACGTGGGAATAACTACATCAGTCTTTTGGTTGCCATTAAGTTTATATTATTTTCACAGTGTCTCTTTTTCTTTGTTGGTAATAGCATATGCGGAAATATTCTTCTAGAATGTCTATTCTTTAAATGTGCGAAGCGCTGAACCGCGAAGACGTAACGTAAAGTGAACAAACGTACGAAACTCGGCAGCAACGCTAAAATACATTT